AGGGGGGGGAACCCCCCCCCCCCCCCCCCCCAAGATGTGTGTGAATGAAGAATGAAGAATGTTGGGCGCTTTTTTGGTAGTTCCCACCCCGCAATTGTTATTCACGGGTTTTGGCCCCAAGAGTAGGGGGGTTTCAGGGGGGCTTGCCCCCCTGACCTAACAAAAATAGGAAGGGGGGTTTCAGGGGGTTCCCTGAATTTTACCACAATTTAATGTTTTGCTGTTGTGTGTTAGGTCTGATATAATATCTTAGCTCACCGTGAATCAAACGTATAGATCTAGAGTAATATTACCGGTTCGGTCAAAAGGACGAAAACAGGCACGTCGACTTTAAAGCTTTATATCTCTCCTATCTGCCTTGCCCTAGAGACAAACTGAAACCAGCTACAGGATGTCATGTGATTGGTTGGATGACCCCAGGAATGACCTGTTTCAGCTTGTTCTCATGTTTGAGGCCCTTACTGGGTGCAAAAGTGACGCCCCATTTATTTACGAGTTCGGTCGCATTTTTTTGGTTTTCTCATGGATTCGGGCAGTATTTTGACATCGGTCATTTTCAATTATTATCACATTTGTTTCTTTGCAAGCTTAATAACATGATTTTTAATGTTTGTTATCAACACTTGGACACAATGATAGTTTGTCTAAAGTGGTATTCACCATTTATAGCTCAGCTCTATTTTAGGCCACCTCTATTCTCACCCGGGGTGAGAATAGTGCAGGCGGGTCTTGTGGCTATTCTCACCCGGTGCGCGTGTCAACAAATTTTGCGTTCACCCTAAACCACAGAATTCTACACTGTGATAAGAGAAAAATTGTAGAATTCTGTGCTGTGAACAAACGTTCCATTACAACTGTACTTGTAGCCTACTAAAAGCGTACAATTTTGTCTGTGGGCAGGGGAGAGAGAGAGAGTGAGAGAGAGAACAAAACAAAATGGCGACCCGCGTAGTTCGGCTCGATTCGAAAAGTTAAATAGCCGTAGCATCTTTGTAGACAACCAAATTAATTTACTTTTGTGTTTTAACATCATTTTTTAACTTTGTTTTGGTCAATTTGATCGTCCACACCGATAGACAGTATTCAGAAAGAGACAGAGAGAGAGAGAAGAGGGGAGGAGTAGATCTTGCGAGAACTTCCGGGCGGGTGAGAATAGCCACTTTCTCTATTTTAATGAGTATACATGTACCCACTTTACTACATGGTATCTGACTCTACTACACTGGCATCTGGCTAACTCAACTACACTGGATCGGACTCGGCTACACTGATATCCGACTGTATTACACACTGGTATCTGACTCTATTACACTGGTGTCTGACTGAGTTAATATGCTGCATCTGACTCTACTATTATTTAAATTATGCACAACAAATTCTTTATTCTTTGTTTATATATAACCATTGGCTCTATATTATAAATCTGGTGCTTTTTCGGTAGTTCCCACCCCCCTTATTTGAGCCTGACCTACTTCTAGATCTAGAGTAATCGTACCGGTTCGGGCAGCACGTTTTTTTTTTGCTGTCGGGCACTTTCCAGAGTACAAAAAGATCGTTTAAAACTTTGTTTTCAAATCTAGCCCCAAAAGAGTGGCACACAAACCTAAAGCAACCTCCCTTACTTTCGTTGAAACAACAGTTACGGCGATATTTTGCTAGGCCACCTCTATTCTCACCCGGGATGAGAATAGTGCAGGCGAGTCTTTTGGCTATTCTCACCCGGTGCGCGTTCACCGTTATAGCCTAGATCTAGGCCAACAAATTTTGCGTTCACCCTAAACCACAGAATTCTACACTGCGATAACAGAAACATTGTAGAATTCTGTGCCGTGAACAAACGTTCCATTACAACTGTAGCCTAGCCTACTAAAAGCGTACAATTTTGTCTGTGGGCAGTGGAGAGAGAGAAAGATAGAGAGAGAGGAGTAGCGCGAGAACTTCCGGTCAAAACAAAATGGCGACCCGCGTAGTTCGGCTCGATTCGAAAAGTTAAATAGCTGTAGCATCTTTGTAGACAACCAAATTAATTCACTTTTGTGTTTTAACATCATTTTTTAACTTTGTTTTGGTCAATTTGATCGTCCACACCGATAGACAGTATTCAGAAAGAGACAGAGAGAGAGAGATGGGGGAGGAGTAGATCTTGCGAGAACTTCCGGGCAAAACAAAATGGCGACCCGCGTAGTTCGGCTCGATTCGAAAAGTGAAATAGCCATAGCATCTTTGAAGACGATCAAATTAGCATACTTTTGTGCTATAACGTAATTTTTTCTTCTTGGCTTTTATCAATTGGATCATCCACACCGATAGACAGTATTCCAAAATGAGGAAAAGCAGGTCTTGTTTCGCACCGGGTGAGAATAGCCTACGCTGGCAATTCTCACCCGGGGTGAGAGGTAGATAGATCGTTTTTCTATTCTCACCCCGGATGAGAATAGCCACTTCCATTTTGCTAAAAAAATGGCCGGCACTATTTCTCCGAACGTTCGGGAAAATAAAGCTGGGCACTATTTCTCCGAACGTTCGGGAAAATAAAGCTAG